GTACCCAGCAGCAGGGCGGGCAGGCCAGGCGGGGACATGGGGCACGTACCCAGCGGTGTAGGGCAGCCGCACCAGCAGCAGGGCGGGCAGGCTGGCGTTGAGGCGAAGCTCCCTCAGGGTGCCCGGCTCCACATGCAGGGGGCTCAGCCCCAGCTTCTCTTTCAGCAGCCCCAAGACGCCGGCGGCCGCCGCCCCCTGCACAGCTGGGAGCACCAGGGTTGAGGGGGCCCCCGCCAGGGCGCTCTGTGTGTGTGGGAGGGAAGAGTTAGAGACAGGCACCTGACCCACAGCCCCTCACCCCCGACCCACAGCCCCATCAGGGCCCTTTACCCCACCCTGCAGCACCTGCCACCCCCCAACCCACAGCCCCTCACCCCCAACCCACAGCCCCATCACGGCCTCTCACTCCTGAGCCACGGCCCCTGCCACCTATCCCCCTCCCAGCCCCACCAGCTCTGTCTGGGCCCCCCTTGCTCACCTCCAGGCTGGGGAAAGCGCTGTCGGGCTTGTTGCCGAAGACTCCCCCATATGCTGTGAAATCCTCCAGGCTGAGCTGGGCAGGGGGGCAAGAGGGCATTAATGAGGGGTGATTTGAGGCCCCCCCAGGCCCAGCTCCCTCCCCATTGGGCATGATACATGTATTATCGGGGGAGGGGGGCAGCACAGAAGATGGAATCTCACAGGGAGATCAGTCACTGATCACATGACGGGGGGGCGTGCGTGCGGGCTGGGCTCATTTCCCCTTACAGAGGGGCTGTGAGGGGAGGGGACAAGCAGGAGCAACCTCCTCCCCCTCCCGCCCCCCCCCAGTGAAAGGGCCCAGGCTGGATTCTGGGAGCCCTGTGGGGCTGCCCCCCGCCAAGGTAATTGCCCCCATAGCTCCCAGGGAGCTGGGGACCCCAGACACCCCAGCAGTCGGGAGGCTCCCCCACAGACCTCCAACCCAGCTGGCAACAGGCAGAAGCACCCAGCTGCTGCCCAGGGCCAGAACCCCCAGGCTGAGCCCC